AGGATGGACTTTGTCTTTAAGTGAACAGCAGCTTTGGTAAATGAAGTGCTTTTGCGTTTTTACATCTGCAGTATCGTTACTACTGTGTTCATTTGTCTATCGTGTCGTTTTTATGAATAATATGAATGGCTCGTGCTCTAGCGCTGCTGTGTTGCTGGATTGATTTATTGCTTTGTTGTCATATAAATATATGTGACTGGTTCTTGTGAGTTTGTTCTTGTCATTGTGTTAATTATATTGATTTGGACTATATGCATTGTCTGTTAATGACGAAGCATCCCGTCATGCGCGGGGTTATTGTCCGGACAATTGAATCCGTTCGGGCTGTTGTTTCCCCGCTAAGCTAGTTAGCTTAGCCCCCACGAAGACACGTGCAGTGCCGCAGCCTCAGCTGTTTTTTGTTATTGTTGCGGGTTCAGAGGTCACACAGTCCGTTGTCTGTTACGTGAGCGCAGTCCACCGAAAACATTATATTTCCCACAATTTAAGCTTCTGCATTTTCCAAATGCACTAGTATTATTCAAACGTATTGTTCGGTTCGTAAGCCTCGTACCGAATGGTTTAATACGAATACATGTATTGTTACACCAATAGAAACAAATAACCATAGCTGTGTCGTCATAATGAGATTATTAGGAGATGGCTCAAGTGTAGTAGGACAGCACAGAAGGCCCAGGTATAAAATGCACGGCCCTCCACTGCCATAATGTAATAATACTATTTACAAGCGTGTGGGGAGAGTTGTGAAACTGTATCGCAATCAACAAATCTGAAAATGGCAGCGGACAATCTTTAGAAAGAAGGTTCCGCCGGGCAGCATGAGCCTTGGATTCAATCGTTTTCAGGAAGAACATGAAGTGCTACATAAGTGGCCATATGGTGGCGCCACTTTTCCCAAACCACACCAAAAACTAATCATATTTACATATATCGGTCTGCCTCTGTGGATCCATTTCAGTGGTGATAGAGGAAGCTGGAAGTGAATGTTTATTTATCACATATATAATATGGAAGGTCAATGCTTGGAGCTGTACCTGGTCGTTGAGCTGCCGGATGTTCTTCTCTATGTGTGGCAGCAGGCCTCTGAAAGTGAACTCTTGGATGAACTGTCTGACGTGGTCGTGGTCATTCAGGGTCAGACATGCTCCGTGGCTCCCTGCTCCCCCCGCCAGGCTCTCTGGATCTCTCGCACCTTTCTTCAGCTCAGGGTTGATAGCACTGAGGGTGTGCAGGCTCCCCGAGCTGCTCGCTGTGTCCAGCTGGAGAGGGTGGCTTTCCAGGCTGTTGGAGGCTCCGTCTGGTGGGAAACGGTGTAGAAATTAAGCTCAATCAAGACATTATCTATTTTTTTGTCGCAGCAACCAATCAGCCCTGTGCAGATGAACCAGAGGATCATCAGGGTTTACTGGTGAGGCACCCTACGATCATATATGTGTGTGTGTGTCTGTAAATGGACTGTACTTGTCTACCGACCACTCAAAGTGCTTTAACACTCCATGTCATCATTCACACCCATTCATACACTGATGACAGGAGCTACCATGCAAGGTGCCACCTGCCCATCAGGACTAACTAACATTCATACACTGCTGGCACAGCTACGGGAGCTATTTGGGGTTAAGTGTCTTACCCAAGGACACATCAACATGGACTAGTGGATCCAGGGATCAAACCCCCGATCCTCTGAAGGACGACCCTGCTCTTCCACTGAGCCATAGTTGTTTGTGTGTGTGTGTGTGTGTGTGTGTGTGTGTGTGTGTGTGTGTGTGGGGGTTAAAGTTAGGATGAGGAACTTTCCATTTGTATTGATTTTGGCAGTCCCTGTGGACTAAAGTGGTAGTGTTTCTCCGCTCAGTCCTGGTTTTCCTGTGCCTCCCTTCCCGCTAGTGGGCCCAGCAATACGTCGTGGGTCTTCAGCGTGGTGACCATGTTGGCTTTCAGCGGGGACCGGCGGAGCAGCGAGGTGAAGCTCTGCTCCTGGAGGAGGAGGAGACACTGCTGTCGGGAGCTGAGCTCTCCTCCTCGCACAAGCTCCAACAGTGGGTCAAAGGCTGATCTGGGTGTGTCTGACTGATTTTGCTGGAATTTGACATGGTGGCACTGATGGCAAGCATTCAAAATAACTATATAGATATAGACAATCTTCTCTCATTTAGAGGTATCATTTTTCAACTGAGAGTGTTTCTTAACTAGTTATAAGTTCCTCACAGAAACTTTAAGTTAAAACAACATGTAGTTATTAAAATAATGTGGAATAGATCCTGCTCAGATAACTCAGAAGACAGCTGTTGGTTGTCTAAACAAGAGGAAGCCAACGTTAGTATGTTAAGGAGCTGTTGAATTGACAGACCTTTCTCTGTAGTGTGATGGCTGTCCACTTCAGCTGCACTGATGTTATTCTCAACAGCAGCACTGTTCACAGCTGCATCATCAAGCACCTCCTGCAACAGGGGTCACCATGAGAACACATTATTAGACAGAACACCACAGAGAATCCTCTGGCTGACGTGTTGTGCTCTCAGGCGACCGTGCCCGCAGTAGACACTGGACCATGGTCAGTCAGTGCAGCGCAGCGCTCACCTGGTTCGGCAGATTATTCCTGTGCAGGTACTGACTCCAGGGGTCTGGAATCTGTTCATCCTCTTCAGCCGAGAAGGTACGAGAGTTCATTTTCAACAGGTAGCAGCCCTGGTGACCGTACCTCTGTTTCATTTCCTCATACACTGAATCTGCCCTGGAGAGGGAGCAACACCAAGGTCTGGTCATTCATAGTTCTTTAACGGAGAAATACACCACGTAATATACAACGCCGATGCAAAGTGGAATTCTGTTCAGTACCTCTGTTCGCCCCCCTCGCTCATGTCATGCAGTAAGACGTAGTACTTGAGCGTGTTGGGTATGAACCACTTGGGGTTGGTGTAATCTCCACTGTGCTGGATCCTGTGCTGCTCCTGAGAGAGCTTGAGGAACTGCTCCACAGGGACCGTCTCGGTGGAGGACACCACCAGCAGGCCTGACAGGACCAGAGCGTCAAGGACATACAACCATGTGGATCAATAACTGAGCAGGTGCACTCAAGCAGAAGGTCTATGCGAGCCAAACACTGCTACTACTAAAACAAGGTTTCTGACACAGAGATGTAAATTTACATTCAATAAAAAAAAATATTTAAAGTAGTCTCGTACTTGAAATGACTCATTTATCAAATACAATCATGGAGTTCAAAATCAGTTTGTTATTGAATGATAACGGCTACAGCGGGACAGTCGGGATGATAATGACCATGTTTAGAAATCTGACTGACAACCCCCGTTGGCAGCGCTGCACTGTGGCTGCTGGACGAGCTAATGTTAGCATCACAAGCTGCTTCACAGCACACAATCCCGAAGGTCCACATTCACAAAATACCCCATGAGTTTTTTCGATTTTCATTTTACTTAAATGTATTCAATTATTCATATATTTAATTTGATATTAATATACATTTGATCTTCAACTGTAAGCCTGGCAGTGTGTTTATTGTTTGCTTATGTTTTTCACAATAACTATTTAAAAACAGTTTTCCTTATTAATTGTGTTTTGTGTGAGCTCTCCTGAGTATTGTGAAGTGAGCGACACTCAGTTGGGAAAACAAATCAAGATTAATAAGCAACATTTCAATCAAAATCTGTGTATTATTATTTATTGTTAGAGACATATTTAAGATTTGAAACCACATTTTTAGGAGCTTTAAGGTGATAAAAATGTTTAAAAGTTTACCAGCAAGATTCTAAATACTCGTCACTATTTTTTTCCACTTAGTACTTTTTCCTCCCCCTCCCCTTACAGTGGTGTATTCAAACAGAACCTGTGACATGGCACGAGATCACACTGATGAACCAAGACACTGCTCAGCCTAACTGCAAACTCATGAAAAGACCTGACCAGAGGCCAGTTTTGTTCACTGGCGGAAGGATACAGGCGAGGTAGTGGTTGAGGAACTCATGGTCTGAGGTGGCCATTGACTGCAGGAAGTTCTCCCTGTAGGCTTCAAACCAGGGCGTAGTCGCTAGAAACAGAGACAAAATGAGATGGAGGATTTCATCCAACAAACACTCTACTCTATCTATTGCATCGTATATCACTGTTAGAAAGGTATCACAATACTCTGCCGTTAAAAGCGGTACTATACGCCATTGTATTAGTATCAGTACTTTAAGGAAGACAGTGTTTTAATAAGAGACGTATTTGTGAGTTGAGTCAATGTGATGGGGCAGTGTGTGTGCACAGATCCGCTTCCACTCGCTGTGCCAACTGTTTTTTGTTTCTCTCAAACACACACTGCAAATACAAGTGCTTTTACCAACATATCACAGCTTGTCGATAAAGCAGACGCACAGATGAAACATGGCACTAAAGTACTGTAGATGAGGGTTATGAGTTGTTCCTACACTTATGAAGGTAACAACAATAACAGAGGCTCCGCCATATCAATCAAGATGGAAACCTCTTTGTTGCTCGCACATCTTCAACAGCATTAGCAGCGTAGTAGAGCTTCACGCCTTCGTTCTTACCTTTCACAATAAAAGCAATAGATAGATAGATAGATAGATATGCTTAACAGAGCATTTTGATAACTGAATAGCTTACAGTACTGCTCGTACCAGTTCTAAGCAGCAGTGTGACATGTGAAGGTAAAGATGTGAACGTGTAGCTGATCTAAGTTATGGCTTCTCCATTCCTGGTTGGATATTAATAATAATCCACGCCTGTTTTATGGCTTCTACACTCAAAATATTTGTTTTAATACAAAGTCGCATGTTCTGTCATCTATTATTACATTACTTTCCAAATGTTTCAGTATCAACATGTTTAGGCAGGTATCGCATCAAAGTCATCATTTTAGTATCGCAACAACACTACTAACCAACTACCTAACTAGCCACAGTTGTAATACCAGAAGCATAAATACCCATTGTGAAGGAGGACAATGTGTTTATTTGTTATCAGTTACATTGGAGCAGCATGCTAACTCTCTTCAGTGAATGAAATGAGCCTTTTGATCCTCGACTACTAAACAGTGGAACATAGCGGTCATCTTTCTCCAACACACACAGACTGTTCCAGCTCAGCTGCCAATCAAGCCGACGCTGTGTTGCACTTCGTCATGTTATCTAACAGTGCACACCAACCTCAAAGGGAGGAACCAACCACTGCAAAACAACGTTGGTTTTTTATAGTTTTGTTCCTGTCCCTTCTCTAAAGAGATGGAGATACAGAGGTTGGTGAAGGGAATTAAATGTGTACGACACTGTACTGCACCTGCTTGAGTTTGTACATGTGGACATAGTGAGCTACAGGACCTCCCCTTCACAGGGCTGTCACACTACAGCTCAACATGGGCATTGTGCAGATGGAGGCCATTATTCCTCTACTGAGATGTATCAGCATCATTTTCGCTAGGTTGTGAAGCACAAGTTCGACAAACACAAATACGCTGACCTCTATAATGCTCATCTAATGGGATTCTGGCATTTAACCAATTAATTTTGTTTTTGAATTCACAGCTCTGTAACTCTACTCTGATCTCCAAATATGTCAAGCTTGGCAAATTATTCCAATTACTTGTTCTTGCACCTTTGTTCTGAAAAAGTCAGGGATCAGGTGAACCCTAAGCCACCACCGTGTCAGTAAAGGCAGAACCCCACTCATCACAGCCTCTGATGATCAACGCTGGATGAGGACTGCATTAGATCTTTGGATAACAGCAGCGTCATGAGGGGGCTAAAGGTAATAAAGGCTCTACAGTTAAGAACAGAGGAAACGAGGATCAGGGGCCAGATGCATTAAACTCTGCTTCTGTCTCTACCTGCTTCTGTGTTATAAATCAAAATCATTGTGGCACATGGAGCGTCATTTACACTTCCACCGTTTGGATGTAGAAACGGCCTCACAGATCAGTTTACACATCTTGTCCCTCCACCATTAGAGCCATCAGAGAGAACAGCAAACAAGAAGCTCAGTTTTACTTTGACAGAGTGACAACAGCACCAGAACAGCAGTCATAATGCCATTCATTTATCACATGCAATATCTCAGTGACAATAAGTATCATCAGAAAAAGAATCAATTATTAATCAGTAGACCTCATATTGAAATACTTAATGAAATTCAAAAATCATGCACCCGGGGAAATGGCTCAAAAGTAAATCTAAAAAAGTAATACATTTCTTCACTCATAGGCAATTACTTGTAATTAAGCTTAGAAATGCAACTTTGATTGACATTTTACAGAAAGATGGGTATTAAAAATATAAACATAAACAGGGATTATGGGAAACAAGCTATACAAACTATATTCTACCATAAGATGAATCCCCTCATATTTATTCTCCTCATCATTTCATCTGCAGCTGGCTCTAGAAAACTGTGCCCGACTGGTCTGAGGTCTGTTGGAGGTGACACATTCTTCCTTTATAAATACCACTTAATGTGTGGGGAAAGGTGTATGCATGGTTTTTGTCCACACACATTTATGCATCTGGCCCCATCTCATAAATAACCATTGCCACACATAGAAGAAAGCAGCCACCACACAGTAACAAAGAGCAGAGTGACAGTGCAGCTAGTGGAGGCTAGAAGGAGAGAAGCTGAGAGGACTACATCTATCCACACATCAGCCAGGAGGCAGTGATACCTGTGTAGTGCTTGGAGGTGCTGACTTCAGACAGTGTTTCTTTCCAGGCACTGTACCAGGGGGCGCTAGCTTTAAGAGAGTGATCTGATAGGTGGAAGCAGACAGCCAGGGCTTGTGTTAGCAACATCTCTTTATTCAAAATGAAAAGTTACAGGTGACCAAGGAACAAAACAGGGTGGAAAAGCATGATAGAGGCAAATGTCACATGGCCTTTCATTATATTAATTACATTGTTCCTCATGCTAATTGTGTCATTGTAATTTGAAGTAGAGAACAGACTGAAAAGTAACTGGTAAGTAACCCCGCCCCTGGAACGCAGACTGGCCAATCACAGCATAGCATCGGCCAGCTCCAACCAGGGTGTGACAGCTCTCTCTGCTCCACTGACTCCTCATCACTGACTCATCAACCCTTTCACAGTTGTTCATGTTCAGGCTGGTTTAGTGGATTTGGAGCTAGTCATGGTTAAATGTTGTGTAGTAGTGATACTCGTTAACTTAAGAGGTTGGATGGAGATATGCGGTTCTAAAACGTAAGTGGAGCTAACATTAGCAGAGTACGTTAGCACACCGTTAACCAGTGTTAGCACTTCTATGCTACGCTAGCTACTGATGGTATACAGAATGTCTTTACATGCTGCCTTTACTTTAGCGTTGTAATGATAACAGTGAATAAAGACCAGATTTAAAGGCTTTACTTAACAGTGTTCCTTAGTGTCATTGGGTACACCCCAAGTCTCTTCATTACATCCCTGTTTCCTTCACTTGCATCTTTTCCTTGTGCCTTAGTCCTTCCCCCCCAGGGATGCATGGAGAGATGCAAGGCAACCATTCGAGGAGAGAGGAAACGAAGAAATATGTTTTAAGAGAAAATAGACGTCCTTTCTTCTGTATCGTCACATGAAGCGACGTCTCTGATCACAGCTGGATCAGCTGTCAGTCGGCTTTAACAGCTGGAGAGACTTTTCACAGAGTTTGTGTCTGTTCACATGATCACTGTACTTTTACTAATAAGGACACTTCATCACTGCCAGAGAAGAGATGTTTTTATACGGTCCTGTTTTTAAGCGCAGAACCGAATTTCTACCGACAAAATGCATTCGTCTTATTTATGAATTATTTATATAGGATTGTGACATAATTATTAACCCAGAATATGATTATGGTTTCTCTTGAATACTGGAATTAATTTATTAGGCTCCATGTTTCAGGTTAAACTTAAATGATAAAACTCATCAAACCAGACACTCAGGAATGATCCGCCTCACGTAACTGAATGAAATGATGATAAATGTAAAAAAGTAAAAATCTCTGACTTTAATTGTATTCATAATAAAGTTATTGAGGGAAACATCAGATCATGAAAACACAAATCTTTCTAATAAATGAAGAAAGTTGTTTGTGGTCCTTTTGTTGTTCAGACTACAATGAACATTTATTTAAATCAGATGTTGAATCAGAAAACTAATCAAATATAAACTAGACTTTATTGTGTGATCTGTCTTCACTCTGGTGTTAAACTCAGTCAGTCAGATCGGCTGCAGCGTCCAATCACATAACTGATGAACAATTAGGGGGCGTGTCGGCCGTTAAAACACTTCCTGGAAGGCGGTGCTCGTGCATCCTCGCTCATGGCTCCTCAGAGATCCCTCCTCTCTCCTCAGAGCAGAAATAAGAGCAATATGGCGGAGCAGAACAACTTCCGGTTCAAGTGAGGATCGAGGAAATGACAAATAAGAGACTTGGGATGTACCCACAGTCTTCTGTCTGGATCTCCAGGTGATGTGGTGGTTCACTTTAACACTGTGATCTGTAATCTTTTTAACCTGCTTTCACTGCTGAATCAGTTTCACATCCTAGATGTATCCTTCAAACACATAATGTAGACCCTTCCGTCTGCCTTTCTCCGACAACGCTCTTTATTTTTTCCAAAAATGAGATGATTTATTCATTTATCCAAGGGTCTATCCTCTGACAAATTAACAGTCTGAAGATTTCGTTTCACAACAATTCTATTTCATTAATGTCATTCTCATAATGTCAGACAATTAGAAATATGGATTTTTTCTAGTCTGAATATCCGTATTTTCACACTTGAACATCATGGTGACATCACTTCGGCTTAGGGTAAAGAAACGCGAGCAGCAGCCAGCATTCTATCCAGATTGTTATTTGGAGGTAAAACTGAATGTGAATGTGTGACGTATACAAATGACCGCCTGTGGTCTTTGCATACATAAGCAGGGCAGGAGAGGAGTGAGAGGCTCAACGACTCAGCGGTAAGCAGACATGGATGCCACTCCCCTCGATAATACTGGCTAATGAAGGATTGCTGCTAAACAAACGTGATGATTTCCAGGTAGGGTTGGGCGATATGAAGGTGTATACTAGGGGTGGGAATCACCAGAGATCCTGCGATATATTATCACGATACTTGGGTCACGATACGATATCAAGATATTCTGAGTATTGCGATAACATAGGCCTATATTGCGATTTATTACTTTTTTCAACTTCAAATTATGTCCCCAAAGGAAAACTGTGTCAACATGTTTTATCTAACAAGATAAAGCTTTCAGTCTGTTCATCTCACTTCAATCATTTTTATTGCAGCAGAATAGGATTGTCAAGCAGACAGACTGACCAACAATGTCATAAATGTTGCATGAACCTGACAAACTGAACTGTTTGTGTTACTACATAGTCCAACTTAACTGAATGCAAACGTGTGGACTCAATATATGAACTATAACTTATATAAGTAGGATATTAGAGTTATAAAACTCAGTATAACTTGCGATGCGTGAACATCAAGGGCAGAGAGACAGTTATGCGCTGCACTCTCCCCATGAGCCTGGCTACTGTTGGCAGATTTAACCCCATTGTGAGGCCAGATGTCTCTATCTTTGTTTTGACCAACTTCCTACCAATCACGCTGACCAATCATGCTGAAAACAACTCAGCACCATCTAGTGGACTGAAAAAGCAATTGATTTGATTTTTCTAGAATTTTTTTATTTGTTTTAATAGTTTATATAATAAAAGATCGATACTTGGCGTCCGTGTATCGATACAATATCGCCACGCAAAATATCACGATACTATGCTGTATCGATTTTGTCCCCCACCCCTAGTGTATACAGGGCACAGGCAGAGATTTGGCAATACCTCTTCCAGCATGGTAGCTATTTTGGAGTAATGTTGAGATTCTCGCAAGAACTCGCAAACCCAGCTGCCTCGCAAGTTAACCTGATTTGGGCAGACATGGAGGAGGCACCCCAACCAACCCGAGATGGTACTAACTGACATTTGTAACCCATAGTTTATTTAGTCTTTTATTCTTTTGGTGTACACAAATTTGTGATTTATATATTGCAGTCTGATTTATTTACATCTGTTAACCCTGAAAACTTGTAACACTGTAACCTTAAAACTTCCAATTTGAAATGGTAGATGGACTGTAGTTGTATTTCTCTAGTCTTCCGACCACTCAAAGCTTTAACGCTACATGTCATCACCCATTCATACACTGATGGGAGGAGCTTCCATGCAAGGTGCCACCTGACCATCAGGACTAACTAACATTCATACACCGTAGGCACAGTACAGGAGCAGTTTGGGCTTAAGTGTCTGGCCCAAGGACACTCTGTGTCTGTGACTGTGCCTGTCTTTACATGAGGGGCGGATGACTCAGAGCCTTTCACCAATGACTGACTGGCTCATTTTAGGGGGTACATTGTAGCTTTAACCTGACAGGTTAAGCTTTTACATAAACTGATCAAATATGATATACTCTTATAGCTTGCACTGCCCAACAGTGTACCAGATTGTTAAAACTAGATCCACCTCAACCAGCTCCATCAGTAAAATGCTGATTCCACATTAACGCATCAGTAGTAACAACCCAAGAACCAAAGAATGACATGATAGTGTAGAGCATTTATAGGGGCCTTTTTCTGAATTAAACATTTATTCAAATACATTTAAACGACAATTCAATGCGCAACTCTTCAATAACTTCACATAATCCCTGTTTTGACCAATTAGAACCAGAACCGACAGACGTAGAGGGTCCTGACAGAAAGAGTAGCATGTTCAAATTGTGTTTGCCTCCCACGATGTGTTCCATCAATGTCTGCTTTGTGGCTTACCCTGCACTGGTGTTAGCTAGCCCCATTTAGGTTCCACTACTGGCTGAAATAATTCATTAAGGTTGCCTCAAGTACTCTGAAGGATTGACAGCCCACACTGTCTCTTTTTGTGAGACACAAGAACGGGTCAAAGGTTGTTTTGTCTCTTTCTTTTAGTTTTTTTCCGACCACAAGACAGCCAGTATGATTACACACCGCTTCAGACATCATTTTTTGTTTACATTCATATTCCTGAAAGTCCATCTCAGGCATCTTCTTTCTGTTCGTGGTCACGTCGTGAAAGACTGCCAGCAATGATTGGTCGGGTACCAACGTGGTCTGTCGTGTCTCTAGGCTGAGTCACGGTAAGAACATATGACTATAGGACTATATGACTAATGGAGTCTGAACTTTGTATTACATAATGCGTTTTGGTTAAAAAAACGTATATCAGTTTATTTATCATTATCGGATTATTGAAATCGGCATTGAGGTTAAAAAATCCTGTATGACTCCAGAGCCGGTCCTTACCACTGAAGTTGAGGTCGTAGTCTCCTGCCGTGATCACGTTGGTCGCAGCCCCCTCTTGTGGCTGGCAGGATAACACCACTTCGTTGAGCCTTCGGCGCTGGGCAGGGCTGAAGGCAGCGGATGCTGGGTTTGGGCTCGTCACCACATTGTTGACACAGATGCGTAGGTTTTTCACAACCTGCACCTGGTTATTGGGGTCCCGGATGTGACCTAGGGAAGAGGATGACAAGCATTTATTTAAAAAAAAGAATTGTTATAGAAGCAAGCGGCAACTGCGGGTTCAAACGGTCAACAGTTGCGCAACCGCTCGGCACACCCCTCCCTTTCCAAGTGTGGAGACAACCTACGGTGGCCTTCAGGTGACAAAAGTGGTAAAAACACAAAAGGCCCAGTCGAGAGATTGACAGCTATGCCTTCGGAATTTTTGAAAAGGAAAAATACAGAACCTGGACATGATGCTGATCAACCTCATGTCAGGCCTAACCCTGATGAAAAGTATTTTGTTCGCTTGTGTGATTGTAATGAGAAACAGGCAGTTTTCATGGGGACGACCATGAAAGCGTCTGAGAGAGCTCTCATAGCTAGCCACCTACTATCTGAACTAGTAGCCTAGTCAGAAATCGGCACATGCTGTGGCAGAGACATACATTTTGTCATCTAAAAAAAGCCATTGTGAACAAGATTCTAGGCTCAGATGCAGTTACCCTCGAGGCTAGCACAACTGATGGACGCATTGAGGACATCAAAAACATTTGTAGAAGGTGCTTATCAGCAGGAAATTTGCATTGCAAATTCATGAGTCAACGAACATAAGTGGACATGCTCAACTCTTGGCCAGTGTGCACTTTGTGGATGAAGCTTTGTGATCAAAGAAAATGTCATTTTGTGCAAGATATTGCTCACAAAAACCACAGATGAGGACATTTTTTAGGTCACATCATAGTAAGCATGTTAACGTCCACATAAACTAAACCAACCTTCAACAAGTCGTTGACTCACTGAGGTGATTTTTGCAGTAGTAACTAAAACGAGTGAAGAAATAACGTTGCGAGATGAGAGCCAGAGTAATTGAACAACTTAGAGCTTCATGCACACACTCTTGTCACAGCGCAACAGATGAGTGACAACTTTGTTTGGCTCATTTTCTGTAACCAGTGTAGCATTAAAGCATGGTGGAATTAACAATTAGGCAAGCTAACTAGCAGACAGCTGGCTAGTTATCTAGCTGGCAAATGTCGTCATGCTTTAATGCTACACTGGCAGCACAGGGTCCAACGGTCCATCCGCCTCACTCCCCACCGCTCCAGAGAAGCTACCTAGCTAGCCATCTATCTCCTTACGGTACCACTGATATGTGTTGTCAGCATAACCACAGTCAAAAGACCACGGAAGACAGCCGTTCTACTACTATTCTACGGCGGACATTTCTCAACATTTGAATGCTAAATGGACTGCACTTGTATAGCACTTTTCTAGTCTTCCGACCACTCAAAGCGCTCTAAAACTACAATACACTGATGACTGGGCTACCATGCAAGGTGCCACCTGCCCATCAGGACTCTAACTAACATACATACAACATTCCGTAGGCACAGCTACAGGAGCAATTTGGGGTTAAGTGTCTTGTCCAAAGACACATTGATATGGACTAGCGGAGCCGGGGATCAAACCGCCGATTCTGTGATTGATGGACGACCCTCCTTCTTGTGACTGAGCTAGTGTACGAGTATGCGAACACAAGGCCGAAACAAAAATCTTCTCACAAACGCAGACAAAATTAACTTATTCCTTCAAAGAACTCCCTCTGGCAACAACTTCTGGAAAGGGCCTCTCTAAAAATGGCAAGGGCATGTCAACACTGCTGAGTTGTGTGAAATAATTGGAAAACATTTGAAAACTCTTGAGGAGAAGTTATCTTTTACTTTCCCCTCAGGCTACACCGAATCATTTGACTGGGTTAGGGACCCATTAGCTCATAGGTCTAGAAAAGGTCAGGACTTTGCAGGAGCAACAGCAACTCATTTTGTTTGGCTGCCAACCAAAGAGTTACTATTCCTGATAAACAGAGCCATTTCCACATTGCTCCCATTTTCCACAACATATTTTAGCTTAGCTTTTCGAGCCTCACTGCTATAAAAACGAAAACCAGAAAGAGACAGAACAGCCCAGGAAGAGCCATGTATTGTGGCCAGGAGATCAGCTTTGTGTTCATCTAAACAAGGCTAGGTTTCACACTGAGTGAGTATATCTAATGGTCTTTATAATAGGCTGCTATGTTTATTTATTCAGCATTTGGGATGGTGGCATTTGTGTATTGGCCTTTTTTAGGCTCTTCACCATTTGGTTAACATTTTAACATGTGTATAAAGTCCACCCTTTTTAGAATGCAGGGCAGTAGGGTGCACATACTGCTATGTGTGTTTTTCTCCTCATCGCAATCATATGTGTTGTCTTCTGAAGTAAAGACGGGTTGGTTTAAATCGCTCTCTAGATGAACGACTCAATTTAAACCCTCTGTGCAGACCTTTGTCGACCTTACTGGCAATGAGAGTAATTACGAAGACACCGTCCACGAGTTGGACCGGCAGAAGTACCGATATGCTTTGGTACCTTTGTCGTTCCTCATTGCTGAGCCATCTGGAAAAGACACTACAAAGTAATAAAACATGTCTTTGATTTCTGACCATCTTCATATGTTGTCCTCCCAGTCACTTCTGGCTGATGGATGTGGTTCTGTAAAACCATCAGATCGCCAATGAGTAGCTGCTAAATGTTCCCAAATATCATTCATAGTTTACAACGCTAAGTAGCATTGTAAACTATGAACGATATTTAAACTGGAATAACAAAAAACAATGTGTTCAAATTAGGTGAAAAGAAAATGGGCGGGGCAGCATAAGGCAAATAAATAACACCAAAAGTTACTTTGGGCCGGCGTGTAAAGAAAATATAAACAAAGAAATATTAGCCTTTACATTAGCCTGCTCTTTTCTGGCAAATGATAATTCATTCATCTTAAAAATATGACAGCAACCAACCTGTCCCGAAATAAGATTCAAGCAAACCTGGCTGACATTGGTGATCTGACATTAGGCTAACTTTAACTCTGCTTGATGTACCTGTACGTTCGATAGCATTTTGCTAACATTAGCTAACTTCAGATGTGACTATATTCAGTGTAATGTGTCCGTGAAGATTGTGAACCCAATGTAATGCATATTTTAGTTGACAACATATTAAAACATTTTTATTTAAGGTCAGGTATTACTGACCTTGTTGTCTTTACTAGCAGCTGTTGTTCAGTTAAAGTCTGCATTATTACGGAGGAAGCAGCTGTTATTGGAGCGATTAGCGAGCAGCGTGTCATCGGCGTTATCGGACCTACGGAGCAGACGTCTGAAGTCACGTTAGCGGCTTTGAGCAACTAATCTACTTCCTGTTTACACCGGCACCCACCCGCATGCCCAGTGTACGTGAATAGTCACATGATATTCGATTTCAGGCGTTTAAGTCTGGACAGAGATCATTTAGAAAACGATGCTGAAACGCCGTGTGGACGGAGATCCTTTAAAATGAAAACATGTTAGTGTGGATGTAGACTCAGGGAGCCGCAACAGAGGGGCTGAGGAGCCGCAGGTTGCCAACCCCCGCGCTAGAGAGACAACACCTCTACAGCAGAGGTCTTCAACAGGGGGTCC